TGCTGTACGATGCTAGGTCTTGTGCCTACTTGGCCTCAATTGCTCACTTCTTGACCTTGCTTGTACTGTGATCTTTCTATACCTGCACTTGCTTGTTTACCTTTATATATGATCGTGCATGTGAACTGGCCTTGTTGCCTTGAACTTGTGCTCGGAATTTGTAGTGACGTTGTGATCCACCCTGAGCTTGCTGTGCTTTGCTTGACTGATCTTGTGACCTCTTGTTCTCCCCCACTTTGCCTATGGGGGTGTGTCAATCATATATGCTATAGTCTGTGTAGGATGTTGTGGGGTAGATAATATGGGGTACAACACTTTTAGGTTTTCCTACTTGTACCCACCTGTTTCCAAGTGCACTCATTCCTCATTTCTTCACACAATAATCTCAAAATTTGAAAGCTTTCAGAATAGACATTGGAAGAGCTTATACATATGTTCACTTAAATCCCTATCTAAATCATAGGTTGGTGTAAGGAATTTTCTCGATATTCCTTAACACACCTTGCAACATCACGTACAGCAGCAGCTGTTGTTCGCCCGTTACTGCTAACAGGGCTTTGCCGACTTTGCGCGCACTGTTTCATCAAACCTCGCACTGCTGGCCTGGCCGTATCGGCCTACACTTCGGGACTAGCCCGAACCTCGCTTCCAGCATAGCACTAGCTAGCTCGCACGCACCGCGTTACCGTTTGCATGTTTCGCGTATAAATGTTCGCTCATGCCTTCGCTCACATTTTGTGCTTGTCTGACACCTTAGTGCAATTCTCGCTACTTCGATTCATTGCACCTGTAACACTTGGTTATCGGAGCCTCTTTCTTTTCGGGCCGCGCATCTCCGCACCCTAGGAAGTCAACTTTTGATTTTTCACTCGAAGGGACTCACGCACCTTAGCACCTAGGAGCCGCTGTCCTCGCGTTCTCTCGTAAACGCGTGCAGCCACGTCTGCGCCTAGACTAAGACGAGCTGACGCCCTTCGGAATGGCAGAGCATATTGAGGTCACTAACCTTACGCAGGACCGCCTGGACGAGTTGCTGCGACAACTGCACGAAAACTCCGAAGAAATCGCGGTGTTAACGGCGGAACGTACCTCCCTGCAAAATGACATCGCACGAGCACAATCCCAAGCACCTGGCACTCCGATTCAGCCCGCACCACAGACATCACAACACGGAAATGTGGGGCAACCCGCAAGCGCCGCAAGTGATGGCGTCGTCCGCCATGACGGAGACGACGACCACGGCACGACACACCCCGACGCAACGAATGCGGCCAGGAATCGGCCTCGAGTCACTATTTCGGTGCCGGCTGATGAATCAACCTTACCATCGCCGATGCCGCTGAAGCCGCAGCGTCCGCCATGCTTTGACCCAAGTCAGTGGGGTGGTCCTACCGTTCAGGCGTGGCTCTTCACGTTGAACGTTTTTTTCAACGCGAACTACGTCTCGGAGGATACGGCGAAGATTCGATACGCCATGTCGTTGCTGCGAGGACCCGCCATGGACTGTTGGCGTGTCATCGTCATGAAGCTGGTGGACTACGCAACTCTACCGACACGGGAAGGACAAACCGGACCCTAGGCACTGTCGTATTTCATGGAGGTGCCCCAGTATCGCACGTGGGACGCGTGGTGCGCAGGTCTGCGCGCTCGTTTCTAGCCAATTGCGGCTTCAATCGTGGCGCGACAGAAGCTCCGCACTTGGCGCCAACTCGGTTCCGTCCAAGACTACACGAGTGGATTTCTGGCGCTATGCGAGCAGGTGGGATACATGCATGAGAGCGAGCGCATCGACCGCAACATCGGCGGCCTGAAGCAGGACACCGCTCAGGAAATCCAGCTTCCCGGCGTCACCGATATTCAAGAAATCCTCGCCTTGGCGGAGAAACTCGACTTCTTCCGCCAACCGAGACCGGGGTCCTACGGAAGCAGAAATTGGGGACATCGGCCTCGTGGGACGAACGAGGGCGCTACGATTGTCAGAATGCTGTATTTGTCTAGCCTGTAGTAGGGTACTCTATAGCGAGTACAGCCCAACTTAGGGTTTCCTATATGTACTCAATTGCTTGCTACTGCAACTTCTCTTTCAGTTTCTAACTTTCTGCTACTATTTCTGACAACGATACGTGCCGTTGCCGCAAATGCAGCTGCCGCACCGTTCAAAGGGCGCTGCTTTGCGTGTAATCGGCCGGGACACCGCAAGAGTGAATGCCCGGAAAATGCTAAGGGAAAGGGGGAAGCTGAGCAGTAGAAACAGACCAATCAGCAGGGAAACGCTGGGAGTCTGTAGCAGACGGGCCCTCTACTAACAGGTCACGCCGCTCGCCCGACCCAACCGACCCACACCGAGTGATTGTGCCGGTCGACGCAATTGACCACACCCGGCCGAATAAGGAGGGTACTACGGTAGACCAACGTACAGCACCACGTGGGCTCGTGTCCTACGTGTGAGGTGTGTAAGTAGAGCTACACTGTGAGATCCCCGATCGATCCTAGGGGGGTTTACAGGCGCGGTTGCCTGGGGGGTTATGGGCGCACTGACCCGCTACTGAAACAAGCCCTTTTATCCCAATGGTCTAGTGGTTGGGATTCTGACATGGTATCAGAGCAGTCTCGGGTTCGAATCCCGGTGTATGCACATGTAGGCCATTGCCACTATGCTCAGTCCTGGACCTCCCAGTGTGGGGGGGTGTCAGTAGAGCTACACTGTGAGATCTCCGATCGATCCTAGGGGGGGTTACAGGCGCGTTTGCCTGGGGGGTTATGGGCGCACTGACCCGCTACTAAAACAAGCCCTTTTATCCCAATGGTCTAGTGGTTGGGATTCTGACAAGGAGATGAAGAGCTCGCGAAGGCGGGTCAGTTGTAGCCGATTCCACCGCCTGAGCGCGCCTGGCAGCAGGTTACCATGGATTTCGTCACGGGGTTACCTTTGAACCATGGGGGTAACGACGCAGTTATTGTCGTCGTTGACAGGTTGACAAAGATGGCACACTTCGCTGCGTGCAAGAAATCGATCTCAGCCGAAGAAACCGCTCGCCTGTTCATCGCAGCCGTCGTTCGACTGCACGGGATACCAGCCGCGATAATCAGCGACCGCGACACGAAGTTCACCAGCAACTTCTGGAGAAACCTCTGGGAGCAGTTCGGGACAAGGCTGCAGTTTAGCTCGTCATACCATCTCGAGACCGATGGTCAAACGGAGCGGACCACTTGGGAGCAGCAGCTGTCGCTGATCGAGTTCGCGTATAACAACGCCACGTCAGCGACGACGCAGCAGTCCCCCTTCTACCTGAACTATGGGCAAAACCCTACAGTGCCCATGACGCCGAGTCCGGACAACCCAACGCCACGCGCACAACAATTCGCCGAAATTCTGCAATCTGTCCGCACCAGAGCCGTAGAAGCAATTAAAAAAGCCAACGTCATCGCTAAGCGCAACGATGACCGCCACCGCCGCCAAGTCACGTACCAGTCAGGAGACTACGTACTGCTCGACACACAGAACCTAAGACTGCTCGTCGTACCGAAATTGCGACCCCGCTACTGTGGACCATTCCAAATCAGCCACATGATTACCCCAGTGACAGCTCACCTACTGTTGCCGACGGACTGATACGTCAGCCCTTCGTTCCACGTCAGCCTGCTTCGCTCATACATCCCAACCACAAGCCAACGGCCTCGTCACCGCCCGCCATCCATGACTCGCCCTACATCGGAGCCGACCATCGAGCCCGAAAAAATCATGAGCCGTCGGATTCGACACCCCACGGGAATCAAGAGGATTGAATTCCTCGTTCGCTGGAAGGACCGCACGCCAACTGAAGATAGCTGGGTGCCCCTGGCCAACATCGAAAACCACCCTGCCCTGCAAGTGTACCTGAGGAGCCGGGGTTTCCGCGATATACAGGCCTCTGGATAGGATTTGAGTTGGTCTTTCCCATAAGGCCAACATCCTAGTTTCACTCTTTCAATCAGGGTACAAATTCAGAACACACTTATAAATCAGGGTGGAACTTTGAACAAGTCGTGAATTTACTTTTTACAAATTCATTACCTCGTGTTCTGGTGTCCAGTTGTGTAGGAGTGGTAATTTTTAGTGAGCACGCGGGTTCAAAACCCGCCGCAGGCACTCGCTATTCTCTTTTAGCGTGGAATTCTGACAGACTCGGTAAGAACTAGATCAGAACCGTCAGTGTAACTACATGGAGTTGTTCAACAGCACTCTGAAATATCAGTGTCGTAAATCTAAACACTTTTTCTTGGAAGGGTCAATGGAAAAGCCACTCTGGTAAAAAAGGGTGCATAAGAAAACCCACCCTTATAGTAAGTGTCATAAGGGTGAATCACCCTTATATCAAGAGGCCTGGCGATATACATGCACTCACGAAGTGGAGGGGGCTTCTTGAAGGGGGGGGGGGGGTAGTGTAAGGAATTTTCTCGATATTCCTTAGCGCGCCCTGCAACATCGCGTACAGCAGCAGCCGTTGTTCGCCCGAAACTGCTAACGGGGCTTCGCCGACTTCGCGCGCACTGTTTCTTCAAATCTCGCACTACTGGCCTGGCCGTATCGGCCTACGCTTCGGGACTAGCCCGAACCTCGCTTCCAGCATAGCACTAGCTAGCTCGCACGCACCGCGTTACCGTTTGCATGTTTCGCGTATAAATGTTCGCTCATGCCTTCGCTCACATTTTGTACTCGTCTGACACCTTAGTGCAATTCTAGCTACTTAGATTCATTGCGCCCGTAACAGTTGGACTTACATTTTACGGTGTAGACATTACATTATCCAACCGTGCACCAGGAATATGCTTTCCCTGCTCTTTGATTGCTTGGCGGGGCACTTTCGATGTCTGCAATCGCTCGAGTTGATGTAGGTCCAACCGCCATAATTTCTACCCTTTTGACGCTCTCTGCCTGTAGCGGCTTAGGGCTTTCATTACCTAGCACCCTCTGTCGTTCTTAGAACCCATTGTCTTTACACGCACTTCCGTCAGCAGCCATGTTGGTCTATCAGGATCTGATCTCTGGTACGTCTTTTATATCGGTTGTCGAGTTCTCATACATACACAGATTTTTTTTTTTGTTTTTTTTTTTTTTCTAATATGACAATTCGATTTTCCTTGATGTGTCATGCGCTAAAACATTAGGTGACGAGCTGCTGTCCGACTCCTTTGAGGCCAAGGAGATCCAGAACGGCATCTTCTATGAAGTCGAGGGGAAGGTGCGATCTGAATAAAAAAGCTGCTCTTTGACAGCACCCACTGGACCCGTGTCGCTAACTTTGCTGTCGTCGTTTGGATGATTCTGCAGTGGGTGGTAAAGGGTGGTATTGAGGTGGACATCGGAGCCAACCCCTCTGCTGAGGGTGGCGAGGAGGAGGCTGTGGAGGAGCAGTCCGAGAAGGTTGTGGATATCGTCGACACCTTCAGACTACAGGCACGTCCACAATACCCGTTTACAATTTACGAAATTAGGGTTAAACAATCTAGGTTAAGCTTTCATGCAATTGACATCGTCACCTTCGTCTACGCAAATAATTGGTAGCTGATCCCATCGTTGCATCCTCACCTCGATGGTTTCTCAAATGCAGGAACAACCAGCGTTCGACAAGAAGGCGTTCGCCGGTTACCTGAAGGTTTACGCCCAGAAGCTCGCCGGCCTGATGCCCGCTGAGAGGGGGACGCAGTTCAGGGCGGACTCGCCTGCCGCTTGCAAGTGGCTCATGTCCAAGCTCGCTGATCTGCAGTTGTACGTTTTAAGCCTGAAACTTCTCCGACTCCCTTGTCTTTTCCTTTTCCTTCCCCGTCCTCACCTCCCCCCCACGCTCCCCCTTCCCTTACCACGTTCTCTTTCTTAGCCTCAAAGTCATCAGGTCGGTGTTCTTGACTTATTTCCCTCCAATTTCTAATGCATTGCCTGATGGTTTGGTGCAGCTTTGTTGGTGAGAGCCTGAACTTTGAAGGCTCGATCGTTTATGCTTACTACAAGGATGGTGCTACCAACCCCACTTTCATCTATTTCAAGGATGGTCTGAAGGAGGTCAAGGTCTAAAGATGCGTTTTGTCTGTCCAATGTGGCTCCAAATTTAGTGACATTTTTCTTGCAGACTGGTCTTACAGTTTCGAATATGGTTTGCACAGTAACCAGAAAGCCTTGCTTATGGCTCAGGCGACAGGCTAGACTTACCAAAAACATGAGGGAATAGGGTTACAACTTATAATTTGAGCAGGCTGACATTCTCTGTCTCTGGACGCTCCAATCTATCCTGTAGCCCGCGTTCCCAGAGGAAGCTCGATCACGCGGTACAAGTACTGTACCGGTAGATTGACGATGACAGGACTTGCGGCTCGCTTATCGCACGGGTGGGAAAATGCAGTGGTGAAAGGATCCCGCAAGAAAGTTGAACCGCGCCGCACGAAGATTGCTTCACACAAAACCGAACTGAACACCCTCCAGCGTTCCCCTCCAGCCTTCCCTCCAGCATTCCCGAATCCCATCCCAATGTGCGCGCCCTTCGATTTCAGCTCCGCCGAAAGTATTCCCCCCCCGCCGAAACCGCTCCCGCCCAGCGCTTGATACATTGAATAATCCGTCGGAACAATTCATTGATTCACGCTTCTCGGCTCGTTCATGTGTAGGAATAGGAACAGATTCAGAGAGCTTCTGGGACTCATAGATTTCGCGATTTCGTATCAGAATTAATCCTTCTCGTTTGTGTAATCCTCGACGTCCGACATGAGCTCCTCCGGAGGTCCGTCGGGACCTTCAGCGACAACGGCTGGCGGTTCAAGCCAGGCGTCCGAGCAGCAACCGGTAGCCGGCCCCAGCAACACGGCTCTCGTTCCCGCTGCTGCCGCTGCTGCTCCGGACGTTCAGCCGATGGAGATGATTGGCCGGCCCATGAACGCCAAGTACGGCACGCTGGGCCGGCCGGTGAAGGTTCTGGTGAATTTCTTCAAGGTGGATCTGCGCATCCCCTCCGCGCCTCTCGTCCACTACGATGTGAGTAACACTTCGCTTGCAGCATCTCGTCGTCCACTCATTTTTTGTTTTTTTGGGCAGTTACTGTCGCATGAATTTGGTATTTTCCATGCCTCCTTCATGACTGCCAGCGGCCGCTGAGACAGTGACTTTGAGGTAACGAGAAGAACCACTTGGAGCAGCCTATTCTGAGTTGCATCCTTGATTCGTGGCGTCGTTTCTCCATGTTCTCCATTTTCTGTTTTTGTCCCCTTTTTGCCTTTCCCTTTTCTGTCTCGCTCCCATCTCAGTTCCGAATTTCCGTAGCCCTTGTGCTGTTGTATTGCTGCTCTCCCAGTTCTCTATCACCAGGCACATTTTCAAAGGAATTTCTTTAACATTTTGTACAACGATTGATGATGCAAAACATGCCGCATCTACTCTCTCCCCGCCCACCTCCTTCCTCTTCCCACATCCCTTCCCCACCCACCTTCCTTCATCTTCCCCCTTCTCCCCCCACCTTCTGCCCGCCTTCCCCCTTCGACCAACCTACCTACCCCCTTCCCCTCCCCTCCCCGACCGCAGGTGTGCTTCTCCTAGGATGTGTGCAGCATGGTGGTGCGCCGAGCCATGTGCGACCAGCACCTGGCGGCCTTCCTCCAGGACAATCTCCCCTTGCTGGCAACGACTCCCTCCCGCTCGCCCACTCTCCCCCCTCTGTCCCCCCTCTCCCCCCCACCTCCCCCCTTGTGCTCCACACAACAGGTGCGGTTTTCTAAGGATGTGCGCAGCATAGTAGTGCGGCGAGCCATGATGAAAGCCATGTACCAGCAGCACCCGGCGGCCTTCCCTCAGGACGCTTTTCCCTTCTCCTCCCGCTCCCCCTCTCCCCCCGCCTCCCCCTCTCCCCCCCGCCATGTGCGCAGCATGGTGGTGCGCCGAGCAATGATGAAGGCCATTTACGATCAGCACCCGGCGGCCTTCCCCCAAGACACTCTCCCCCTGCTGTCTCAACGACTCTCATCACCTCTCTCAGGCTCTCCCCCCGCCTCCCCTCTCCCCCTCCTTCCCCCTTACAGGTGCGCTTCTCCAAGGATGTGCGCAGCATGGTAGTGCGACGTGCAGTGATGAAGGCCATGTACGATCAGCACCCGGCGGCCTTCCCTCAGGACACGCTCCCGCAGCTCGCTACGACTCTCCTCTTCCTCCCCCTATTTCTCTCCCCCCTCCCCCCCCGCCTCCCCCGTTTCCCCCACTTCCATTCGCCCGCACCACAGGTGCGCTTCTCCAAAGATGTGCGCAGCACGGTGGTGCGGCGAGCAATGATGAAGGCCATGTACCAGCAGCACCCGGCGGCCTTCCCCCAGGACACTCTCCCCCTGCTGGCATACGACGGCAATAACGCCCTCTTTGCCCTGCGCGCGCTCAAGATCCAGTCGCCACAGACGTTCCCTATCAAGATTATGGACGAGCGGTGAGTGCTGCTGTGTGATGCGCGCGCACGCGCACGTGTGTGCGTGCATGCGTGCGTGTGCGTGCGTGCGCGTGCGTGCGTGCGTGTGTGTGTGTGTGTGTGTGTGTGTGTGTGTGTGTGAGAGAGAGAGAGAGAGAGAGAGAGAGAGAGAGAGAATTATCGCTACTTCATCCCTGTTCCCTCCTCCCCCCTCCCGGTGCGTGAAGCGATGACGGAAAGCAATGACGCGGAGCGATGATGGGAGCGATGATGGGAGCGATGACAGGAGCGATGACGGGGAGCGATGACGGGGAGCGATGACGGGGAGCGATGACGGGGAGCGATGATGGGAGCGATGACGGGGAGCGATGACGGGGAGCGATGACGGGGAGCGATGACGGGGAGCGATGACGGGGAGCGATGACGGGGAGCGATGACGGGGAGCGATGACGGGGAGCGATGACGGGGAGCGATGACGGGGAGCGATGACGGGGGGCGATGATGGGGGGGAGGTTGCACCAATTCTAAGGTTGACTAAGAGAATATGTCTCTCTTTTCCTTCCCCCAATCCTTCCCCCTCCCCACTCCCCCTCCTTCTGTGCGATTCACTCTGCAGACCCACGCCAGCAGCGTGAAACGATGATGGGGGAGGCGGTGAGTCGACTTATAATCTGTACCCTCCTTCCCTCCCTCCCCTTTGCTGCTTGCCATGCGCTGCTCAGACCCACGCCAGCAGCGCGAGGCGACGATGGGGAGGCGGCACTGAAGAGGCCGCGCAAGGAAGATTCGAGGCCTCCGCGAATCAAGGACGAGCTGGATATCATCCTCACACAGGTGGGTGGGTAGGCGTCTACCCACATGCTCTGCGCTCCGCTTACCAGCCTTTGACGGGTGGGTTTTGAGGCGCATCAAACGCCTGAGGTGACACTGGGGAGGTGCGCAACGAAGAGTCGAGGCCACCGCGAATCAAGGATGAGCTGGATATCACCCTCACGCAGGTAGGTGGGTGGGTGGGTGGTTGAGTGGGTGGGTGCGTGAGTGGGTGGGTGGGTGGGTGGGTGGGTGCGTGAGTGGGTGGGTGGGTGGGTGGGTGGGTGCCTGTCTGCCATCAGTCTGGTTATCAGCTTTGTTAGAAGTTTTTTTCCAGGCGCCTGATGCAGGTGGGTGTGTGTCTGATGGCCATGTCACACCATCATCCCATCGTTTACCTCTAGTCCCGTAACCCGTCCGTTGCTCCCAACTCACTCCCATCCCCATCCCTCTCCCCCCCACACACACAGATGGTGGAGGTATCCTTTTCAGGCATCGAAACCACCATCATGCCAGCAGCCACCTTTGGTCCTCAGGACCCTCAGAATGTCTTCGCCCCTCAGGCCCTCCCAGCCCTTGTTCCATTCTTCCCCATGCACTTGTCTATTACCACCCAACCCCCTCTCTCCACCCCCACACCCCCCACACACAGGTGGCGGAGGTATCTCTCTCCGACATCAAGGCCGCTATCACCCCGGCTGGCACCACTGATCCTGTCCTGTCGTTGCCCCGGATGCTCCCCAAGCCCTCACACCCTTACCTCCCCTCACACCCTTACCTCCCCTCACACCCTTCAACCCGTCAACTCTTACCTCCCCACACACAGGTGGCGGAGGTATCTCTCGCGGACATCAAGGCCGCTATCACCCCGGTTGGCAACTCTGGTCCTTTCGTTGCCCCGGATGCTCCCCGAGCCCTCGCACCCTTACCTCCCCTCACACCCTTCAACCCTTCGATTATTACCTCCCCACACACAGGTAGCGGAGGTATCTCTCTCTGACATCAAGGCCGCTATCACCCCAGCGGCTGCCTCAACCCCCTCACTCCCTTGTTCTTACCTTACTATCACCCCCTCCCCCCCTTCCCCACCCCCCACACACAGGTGGCGGAGGTATCTCTCTCCGACATCAAGGCCGCTATCACCCCGGCTGGCACCACTGCTCCTGTCTTCGCCCTGGACGCCTTCCGTGCTCTGGACGTGAAGCTGCGGGACTATGCCGCCCAACGGTATGCGCACAGCACGCCCCGTGATGCACAATCTTTGTGTGTGCCACCACTGCTCCTGTCTTTGCCCCGGATGCTCTCCGCGCTCTGGATGTGAAGCTGCGGGACTATGCCGCCCAACGATACACACATGCCTGCACGCACCCACACACACACACACACACACACACACACACACACACACACACACACACACACACACACACACACACACACACGCACACATGCACACACGCACACACACACACACGCACACATGCACACACGCACACACGCACACACGCACACATGCACACACGCACACACGCACACACGCACACACGCACCACCTTGCTCCTCGCCTCCCTGTCCCCTTTCCCCCCCCCCACTCTCTCCCCCCCCCTTTCCTCCTCTCCCGTGAACACGCACACGTGTCTGTCCTGCTTTCTGCCTGCTACGTGCTTCTTTCCCTGCCTTACTGTCGTTCGTGCCCTACTGCTCCTGTCTTCGCCTCGGATGCCCTTCGCACCCTTGATTCATGTGAACCTCCCGGTCTATGCTGCCCCTACAGTATCCACACACCCCTTGTTTCATGCCTTTGGTGCAGTGCACGACTTTTGAGACGTCTCAAAAGTTGTTTCATGCCTTCGGTGCAGTGCATGTCCCTTCCCCCCCACACCCCTTGTCTGTTCCATATCTCCAGGCTCAATCCGGTGCACATGTGTCTGCCCTGCTTGCTTCATGCTTCTTTCTGCTGCTGCCTTTAACCCTTCTCCTGTCTTCCTTCTCGTGAATGACAAGGCTTTTTACCGCAGGTTTGACAAGTGCCCCGGTCGTTGTTTCCCGCTTCGTCCAATCACCCTCCCATCCCATCCGTCGTTTCTTTCCAGCTTCCTTCTTGTCAAGGACAAGTTTTTCGACCGCAGCTTTGGCCGCGTGGCCCCTCTCCCGGGGGGCATTGAGGCATGGACGGGGTTCAATGTCAGCTTCAGGCCCATTCACAACGCACTGGCACTCAACCTTGGTGCGTGCTGTGCTGTGCTGTGCGGTGCTGTGCTGTGCTGTGCTGTGCTGTGCTGTGTTGTGTTGTGCTGTGCTGTGCTGTGCTGTGCTGTGCTGTGCTGTGCTGTGCTGTGCTGTGCTGTGCTGTGTTGTGCTGTGTTGTGTGCATGTCAGTCAGATTGAGTTGAGTACTTAGCTGTAGGCAGCTTTGGCAGCCGAGTGGCCCCTTTCCCAGGGGGCATCGAGGTGTGGACGGGGTTCAATGTCCGCTGTAGGCCAGCAGGTTCAATGTCTGCTGTAGGCCAGCAGGTTCAATGTCCGCTGTAGGCCAGCAGGCTCAATGTCCGCTGTAGGCCAGCAGGTTCAATGTCCGCTGTAGGCCAGCAGGTTCAATGTCCGCTGTAGGCCAGCAGGTTCAATGTCCGCTGTAGGCCAGCAGGTTCAATGTCCACAACACGCTGGCTCTCAACTTGGGTGCGTGCTGCTTGCTTTGGCCAAGAGGCCTCTCTGTCCGACGGTCATTGGTTCAGGGTTTAAAGTTTTAGGGTTATTCAGCCGAGCACTTGAGCTTCAACAGCGAAGGGCAGATGGGTGTGGACCGTGCTGCGCCTGCCCATCTGCTCCTTGAGGGCAGAGTAACATGCATGCTACTCTCCCATGCCACAACCGCCCTTTAGGGTCACTTGCAATTGCAACCCCCCTTTAGGGTCACTTGCAATTGCAACCCCCCTTTAGGGTCACTTGCAATTGCAACCCCCATTTAGGGTCACTTGCAATTGCAACCCCCCTTTAGGGTCACTTGCAATTGCAACCCCCCTCCCCGCTTCTCATTCTTCCATGCACCCTCACCATGCACACAGACGTTGCGACGGGGTGCATGGTGCAGGCAGCCCATACCCGTGTTAGTTGGACCTGCTCCCTCTCCCTGTGTCCACCCTGGCGATATAGCTCCCCCCTCTCTTCCATACATTCTCAACACCACCACACAGACGTTGCAACAGCGTGCATGGTGCAGCCCATCCCTGTGTTGGACCTGCTCTGAGTTCACTGCATGCTACTTGCACCCCCCTCACCCCACCCACCCCCCCCCCCCCCCCCCCCCCCCTCTTTCCATTCTCCTATGCACTCTCACATCATCGCACAGATGTCTTGACAGCCTGCATGGCACTGCATGCTTCTTGCCCCTTTTTCACACACCCACCGCCCCTTCCATTCCACACCATACAGACGTCGTGACAGCGTGCATGGTGCAGCCCATCCCCGTGTTGGACCTGCTCGGGTCCCTCCTCAACCGCAACCCGCCCGACCGCCTTTCTGACGCGGACAGAATCCGGGTACGCCTGTCCGCCTGTCCGCCTGTCCGCCTGTCTGCCTGTCTGCCTGTCCGCCTGTCCGCCTATCTGCCTATCTGCCTATCTGCCTGTCTGCCTGTCTGCCTGTCTGCCTGTCTGTCTCTCTGCCTGTCTGCCTATCTGCCTGTCCAAGGTGCTATTTCTCGCCTTGTCACTTTGCTGCTCTCGTTAGGCGCCTCAGAAAAAGGATGGCTTTGTTACTGGCCCCTTGCCAATACTCTTTTTGCCCTCCCTCGGTTCTTCTCTCCCTCCTTCCATCCATTTCTCCCTTCTCCATGTGGTGTGGACACTCTTTCCTTCTCTCCCTCCCGCACTCCCTCCTTCCCTCCCTGCCCTCCTGGCTCCCTCGCTCCCGTTTTCCTCCCCTCGTCTGTCCCCCCAATCCCAGCTAATGGGCATTCTCAATATCCCCAGGGCCGAGGGAAGTTCGAGGGAGCAGGGACACGCACACGCACACGGTGATTCTTAACTCACACGCCCCCTGCTGTTCCCTCCCCCTGTCCGCCTCTCCCGATTGCAGCTGAAGGGCATTCTGAGGAACCTGAGGGTGGAGGGAAGGCCGAGCGGGCAGAAGCACAACATGCTTGCTTCTTTCATTCTCCCCCCCGGCCCCTCCCTCTCCTCCGCCCCCCCCCCTGCCATTGCCTTCCCCCTTGCGCCTCTCCCGATCGCAGCTGAAGGGCATTCTGAGGAACCTGAGGGTGGAAGGAAAGCCCAGCGGTCAAAAGCACAAGGTGTATGACCTCACACGCGAGGGGGCTGCTGACCTCAGGTGATGAGTATGGGGTCACCTTTGAGTTGAGTCAACGCAATAGTCACTGAGGGTGGAGGGAAGGCCAAGCGGGCAAAAGCACAAGGTGTATGACCTCACACGCGAGGGGGCTGCTGACCTCAGGTGATGAGTATGGGGTCACCTTTGAGTTGAGTCAACGCAATAGTCACTGAGGGTGGAGGGAAGGCCAAGCGGGCAAAAGCACAAGGTGTATGACCTCACACGCGAGGGGGCTGCTGACCTCAGGTGATGAGTATGGGGTCACCTTTGAGTTGAGTCAACGCAATAGTCACTGAGGGTGGAGGGAAGGCCAAGCGGGCAAAAGCACAAGGTGTATGACCTCACACGCGAGGGGGCTGCTGACCTCAGGTGATGAGTATGGGGTCACCTTTGAGTTGAGTCAACGCAATAGTCACTGAGGGTGGAGGGAAGGCCAAGCGGGCAAAAGCACAAGGTGTATGACCTCACACGCGAGGGGGCTGCTGACCTCAGGTGATGAGTATGGGGTCACCTTTGAGTTGAGTCAACGCAATAGTCACTGAGGGTGGAGGGAAGGCCAAGCGGGCAAAAGCACAAGGTGTATGACCTCACACGCGAGGGGGCTGCTGACCTCAGGTGATGAGTATGGGGTCACCTTTGAGTTGAGTCAACGCAATAGTCACTGAGGGTGGAGGGAAGGCCAAGCGGGCAAAAGCACAAGGTGTATGACCTCACACGCGAGGGGGCTGCTGACCTCAGGTGATTTTTTCTACCTTCGTTAGGTGATTCTGCACCTTCTTTAGGTATTTCTGTATGCTTTTTTCAGGGTCTTTTGCACCTCCGCAGGTGATTTTCCAACCTCCACAGTTAATTATGCATCTGCTCCGGTGATTCTGCACCCTTCTCCAGGTGATTCTTCATCCCTGGGCGAAGCTTTATGTTAGGGTGTCCGGCCAATGCTTGCAGGTTCACCAAACGCAGAGACACCAGTAGGATGCAGAGAAGAGTAGAGCAGGGTGGATGGTTAAAAATCACTTTGCTGGTTGGGTTGGGTTCACATTGATTCCAGCACGTGGCGGGCTGCTATCAGCAAGGCATCGCTCTGTCTGTCCTACCTGCCAAACCCTCTCCCTCCCTCCCGCACCCCAACGCCGTCAGGTTCAACAACCGGTGCAGCAACGATGAGAGCCAGAGTGTGGCGTGATTTTACCCGTGGCAGTACCACAGACATTCCTTGGCTGCACCATCCATCAATCTCCCCTGCTAACACTTCCCTCCTCTCCTTCCTGCTATTTCTGACAGGTTCAACAACTGGTGCAGCAACGATGAGAGCCAGAGTGTGGCGTAATTTTACCCGTGGCAGTACCACAGACATTCCTTCGCTGCACCATCCATCAATCTCCCCTGCTAACACTTCCCTCCTCTCCTTCCTGCTATTTCTGACAGGTTCAACAACCGGTGCAGCAACGATGAGAGCCAGAGTGTGGCGTAATTTTACCCGTGGCAGTACCACAGACATTCCTTCCCTGCATCATCCATCAATCTCCCCTGCTAACACTTCCCTCCTCTCCTTCCTGCTATTTCTGTCAGGTGGTGCAGCAATGATGAGAGCCAGAGTGTGGCGTAATTTTACCTGTGGCAGTACCACAGACATCCATCAATCTCCCCTGCTAACACTTCCCTCCTCTCCTTCCTGCTATTTCTGTCAGGTTCAACAACCGGCGCAACAACGATGAGAGCCAGAGCGTGGAAGAGTATTACCAGCGGCAGCACGGCATCACCCTGCGCTTCCCCCACCTGCCCTGCATCTCTGCCTCCAACCGCCCCAACCGGCCCTGCTGGGTGCCGCTGGAGGTGAGACACAGAGTGCGGAGTGTGGTGCAGAGTGGTGCAGAGTGCGGCAGAGTGCGGCAGAGTGCGGCAGAGTGCGGCAGAGTGGGGTAGAGTGGGGTAGAGTGGGGTAGAGTGGGGTGCCAGCAGCAGCAGCAGCAGCACAGCATCACCCTGTTCTTCCCCCACCTGCCCTGCATCTCTGCCTCCAACCGGCCGAACAGTAACTGCTGGGTGTCCCTGGAGGTGAGAAGCAGAGCAGAGTGGGTCGGAGTGGGGGCAAGGCACAGTGTGGCAAAGCAGAGGCGGGCAGAGTGGGGCAGAGTGGGGCACATCAGGGCAGAGCTGGGTAGAGGGGCAGAGTGGGGCAGACAGAGGAATCCCTTGATCAAATCTTCGTATCACGTCACATCGTATCACATCTATCTCGCAGTTTGATGCACCTCAAATTATCCTGCACCAATGTACACATGCACGATCCGCTGATGTGTCTTATCACGTCTCTATCCACCCGTCAACACCCACCCATCAGATGTGCAAGCTGGTGGATGCACAGAGGTACCTGCGCCAGCTGACACCTATGATGCATTCATCTATCAGCCTGTCTCCGCTTCATACCTCTGTGTGTGTATCTCACCTCACCCTCTCCCGCCTCCTCTTTCCCACCAGCTGTGCAGCGTGGTGGATGCACAGAGGTACCTGCGCCAGCTGACACCTGTGTGTGATCCATTCAGCATAACTGTATGCGCATTATTCCTCTGTGTGTGTGTGTGCCTCTCTCTCACCTTCTCTCCCCCCCACCAGCTGTGCAGTGTGGTGGACGCACAGAGGTACCTGCGCCAGCTGACACCACAGCAGGTGGCGGCCACTGTTGTACACATGTGCTCCAACTCATCATACTTGTGTGCGTGTGCCTCTCCCTCTCCGTCCCTCCCGTCACCCCCCCACCAGCTCTGCAGCGTGGTGGACGCACAGAGGTACCTGCGCCAGCTGACACCGCAGCAGGTGGCGGCCATCGGCAATCTGCGCCTCAAGCCCGACAAGCGCCGCGGCGACATTGCCAACGTGGGTGCCTGCCAAGGAAACCCCATCACTCTCTGCTTGCTCCTTGCCGCTTGTCTCTCTCGCCCTGCCTTACTCCGCGCCTCAAACCCGAAGAGCGCCGCACCAACATTGCCAACGTGGGTGCCTGATTTCTCCCGAACCTCCTGATGCCTTGCCACGTTACTCTCAGGCAGCCTGCCTGCGCCTTCGGCCTCTTGCTGCTGCACTGCCCCTTGGCACTTGCCGTTCTGCTCCTTGCCTCTTTTCTCTCTGCCCTGTGCCGCTCTGCCCTTCGAATCCGACAAGTGCTGCAGCGAGATCGCCAGTGTGGGCGGATGTTACACATCGCCTCAGCACACTTGTAAGTCGACTCTAAAGCCACAGCACACTTATCCGTCAAAGAAACCGCATGGGTGTCCCTTGCCTCTGCCTCATGACATGGGTCCCATGTGCCTTAGTCTCCCCCCCCCCCAATCTATTGAATGGTACACCTCTTTCTTATGTTTCTTGCATGCCTGGTCATGCCATGCCACGGCATGCTATGTTGACATGGCATGACATGGCATGGCATGGGACTTGGCATGCCATGGCATGACATGGCATGATGACGTTGCGTGATTGCTTGCATGGTGACATTGCGTGGTACGGAAATATGGTATGGTTTGGTGATGTGGCATGGGATGACATGGCATATCCCAGGCGGTGGGAGCAGCGGGTCTGGCGAACAACCCTCTGCTGGAGGCCTTTGGAATGCGCATCCAGCCCAACATGATGCAGGCTGATGGCAGGCAGCTGGAGCCTCCCGTTGTAAGCATGGTGGTGCTGGTGGTGAGGTGGTGGTAATAATCTGTAAACAGTGGTGGTGGTGGGAGGCGGTGGGAGCAGCGGGTCTGGCAAACAACCCTCTGCTGGAGGCGTTTGGCATGCGCATTCAGCCCAACATGATGCACGCTGATGGCAGGCAGCTGGAGCCTCCCGTTGTAAGCACGCTGGTGGTGCTGTAGGCATGGTGGTGGTTCTGTAGCCATGCTGGTGGGAGCGACACACATTACTCTGCATGTGCATCCAGCCCAGCATGATGCAGGCTGGTGGCAGACAGCTGGAGCCTCCCGTTGTAAGCATGCTCGTAGTGGTGAGGTGGTGGTGACATGGTGGATGGTGGTGGGGACATGGCATTAAGTCGAATTGGCTTTCTTGTCTGACTGCCCCTCGCCTGCGTTTCTGCAGCTCCACCTCCACGTGCGATGAGACGATGTTTTAGGCAGGTCAAGAAGAAGAGTAGATGTCTGTGCATGCGGTCATGTCCGACCGGCTGCCCCTCTTTTGGTCTCTCCCTGCTGCTGTGACCACTGCAGCTGCAGTTTGGCAACAAGGGCGCCATGCAATGCAGCCTCTGGATGATGCGCTACTAATCAACTCAACCTCTTCCACTGCACGTTTGGTCCCCTCTTGCTCCCGCTGTTTATATCCCTGCTTTCGCTGTTCCCATTGCAGCTGCAGTTCGGTGAGAAGGGCACCATGCAGCCTCGCGACGTTGCGCTACTAATCAAATCCTGCTGCTCGTTTTCTTGTTGCTCGTTTGGTCTGCTCTCCCTGCCCTGCTCTCGTTGATCCCACTGCTGCAGCTGCAGTTCGGTGAGAAGGGCTCCATGCAGCCTCGGGACGGGCAGTGGAACATGAACGATAAGGTGAGGGGGGGAGTCGGAGCGGGAATTATCAGGTTCGGGGTGTTTTAATGTGAACAACAATGTGTGGGGAAATGGAGAATGAATGACAATGGGTGGGAATGAATTACCATAAGGTGGGAATTACAGCCACATAGGGACTCCGACTCATCGTAAAATCACCATGTTTACTTTATTTCCTCTCTCCTCATTTTTTTGTCTTCTTTTCTGCATATTCCTCTTCCCGCCTATCTGTTACCCCCCTTCTTCACCCCAGCGCATAGTAGAGCCAGCCACCCAGCGCGTGCTCTAAACATGCGCATTACCCCACCACCACTGCGTGCGTGAAACACCGCTTGCAACTCGTGCTGCTCAACCCACAACCAGCCCTGCTGTCAATTCGTGTCCCTTGCAACCTTGCCGTGTGCAGCGCATGTTCGCACTCGCCGAAATCGACACGTGGGCAGTGGTGTGCTTCGACCACCGTGTGAGGAACAAATGCTACCCACTCAACCCTCAACACACCCCTCCGTCCCTTCATGTTCTCTCACTCGCCCGTGCCGCATGCAGCGCATGTTTGCACCCGCCAAAATCACGACATGGGCAGTGGTGTGTTTCGACCACCGTGTGAGGGACCCCATGCAGGTGGCGACTGCCCTCAAGGACTGCTGCGCGCGCAAGGGACTGGTGAGTGGGGAACCCCTCAAGTGCGGCAGAATACCTATCAAGTGTGCCTAGCCTAGCCTAGCCTAGCCTAGCCTAGCCTAGCCTAGCCTAGCCTAGCCTAGCCTAGCCTAGCCTAGCCTAGCCTAGCCTAGCCTAGCCTAGCCTAGCCTAGCCTAGCCTAGCCTAGCCTAGCCTAGCCTAGCCTAGCCTAGCCACTAGTTTGTTTCGACCACCGCATGAGGGACCCCATTCAGGTGGCGATTGCTCTTAAGGACTGCTGCGCATGCAAGGGGCTGGTGAATGCGGCTGGTGGGTGTGAAGCCATTTAGTTGCTGCAGAATGCGTAGCAAGTGTGCCCATCCTAGCCTAGCCTAGCCTAGCCACCAGTGTGTTTCGACCACTGCGTGAGACACCCCATGCAGGTGAGTATTGCCCTCAAGACTGCTGTGCACGCAAGGGGCTCGTGAGTGCGGATAGGATAGGCGGATTGCGTTTCCTCTTCCCTTGCTATCCTCCTGTCCCCTTGATCTTTACGCTTTTAGAGAGTTCAGTCTAAACCCAAGGAGCTGGTGAGTGCTCAAACCCTCCATTCCCTCTTTTCCTCCTCAATTCAGTTAGTGCTGTGGTGTGCAAGGTGTGCTACATCAGAGAGTGAGTGACTGGCTTTTTAGTTGACACTCCATGCCATGCCATCCTCATTTACTGCAGCGGCATGCATGGTTTGTGCTGCATGCGAATGTGGATATCAAAGCATCTCCGTGCCATGCATCTCTATAAGCATGCCCTTTCAGACGATCAACACCCCCCCAAAGGTGAGACACGAGTCTCTATCGAGGCACCACATACACATACTCAAGCCACCTTCCACTTCCACCTCACTGCACCTCACTTAACCCCAAACCCCTCTCAGGTGATCGAGAGCCGCCCAGAGGTGATTGTGGAGGACACACGTGGAGAGAGGCGCCCCTGGTGCAGCGCAGGTGAAGAGGGTGATCGAGCATGTGAACAACTTAAAGCGCATCGTTCTCCCATTGCCTCTCGCAGGTGATCGAGCATGTGAACAACTTAAAGCGCATCGTTCTCCCATTGCCTCTCGCAGGTGATCGAGCATGTGAACAACTTAAAGCGCATCGTTCTCCCATTGCCTCTCGCAGGTGATCGAGCATGTGAACAACTTAAAGCGCATCGTTCTCCCATTGCCTCTCGCAGGTGATCGAGCATGTGAACAACTTAAAGCGCATCGTTCTCCCATTGCCTCTCGCAGGTGATCGAGAGCCGCCCAGAGGTGATTGTGGAGGACACGCGCAGAGAGGCGCCTGAGAAGCTGGTGGAGCGGGTGATCGCGCGCCTTAAGCAATCCAAGCCTGCTTTCATTCTCTGGATCCTGGAAGTGCGCAAGACCAGCCCGCTGTATGGTACGTGAATGCTTTTTTACTTTTTAGTCGACTCAGAAGTCAACCAGAGGTGATTGTGGAGGACACGCGCAGAGAGGCACCTGAGAAGCTGGTGGAGCGGGTAATCGTGCGCCTTAAGCAATTCAAGCCTGCTTTTATTCTCTGAATCCTGGAAGTGCGGTAGACCAGCCCATTGTATGGTACGTGAATGCTTTTGATTCGACTCAAAAGCAGTGCGCAAGACCAGCCCGCTGTATGGCAAGTGGGGTGGGGATGCCAGTAGTTGTGCTCCTCCTCCTCTCACGCCCCCCTCACCTCCCCCTCACCTCTTTCTCACCTCCTTTTCACCCCCTTCTCACATCCTCCTCACCTCCGCCTCAAATTCGAGCATTTCAAGCTCGTATTAATTCTCTGGATCCCAGAAGTCTGGAAGACCAGCCCGCTGTATGGTACGTGGGGATGCCAGTTGTTGCGCCCTCCTCTCTTCCCCCCTCACCTCCTCCTCACCTCCTCCAGGACTTTCAAGCTCGAATTCGTTTTCTGGATTCTAGAAGTCGGAATGGTGAGAGTGCTGTATCGATGCCAATTGGTGCGTGGCACCACCACCACCTCCAACCCCTTGAACCTTTCACCACCACTTTATATCCTGCAATGCCTACTTAGAAGCTCAGCACGTGCATGGGCATGATGTGCATCGTGCAACCGTGAACTCGCAGCTCTGACTCGTGCATATCTGTCGCCTTCCTGATTCTTTCCTCCTGCTCCCCGCGCAGTGCCCATGTGTAAGAGCGCTACGCAATGCATCGTGCTTCAACAATCAATACCCCTCTCTACCATGCGGTGTGCTCCTCCGCTTCCCCTCCCCTGCAGCGCCCATCAAGAAGCTGTTTGACACGCGCGTAGGCGTGCCCACACAGTGCATCGTACAGCTGCCAGACAAGGGCTTTAACGACCAGTGCCCCATTCCACCCCTCCCTGGCCCTCTACTACTGCTCTCTACCATGTGAAATCCCCCTTCTCCTCCCGCTTCAGCGCCCATCAAGAAGCTGTGTGACACAGTCATAGGCGTACCCACACAGTGCATCGTACAGCCAAACAAGGGCGGCTTTAACGACCAGTACCTCACCAATGTGGCTCTCAAGATGAACATGAAGGTGGGCACATGGGCTTTAAGGTGGGAAACCCATGGGCACTAAGCCATGGATGTGGGGGCTTTATGATGGGGGGGGAAAGGGGTATGTGGTGAAGGTGGGGGCATGGGCTTTAAGGTTGTTGACCACCTCAACAAGAAGCTCAGCTCACCATGGTCTTTGGCCCTGCTGTCTCTCATACGTCTTGCAACTCTTTCTATCCCCATGCATCCCATCTTCTCAATCCACCATCAGATGAGGGGCATCACCTGGGTGGGTGCTGAGCTGGCAAACAGGAGCGCCACGCGCCCCCTCAGTGACATGCCTCGGCCTCAACGTGTCTCATGCTCCCCTCACCACGTGTTTACTTCTGTCCACATGCATCGCGCCACTTGCATGCCAGATGAGGGGCATTAACTGGGTGCTGACGAACAGGCGTGCCATGCGCCCCCTCGCTGAGGTGCCCACCATGGTCTTCGGCCTCGACGTCTCATTCTTCTTGCCTGCCTCTCTATCCCCATGCACCGCATTGCATCGCATCCACCATCGAAACACACCATCAGATGAGGGGCATCAACTGGGTGCTCACAAACAGGCGTGCCATGCGCCCTCTCAGTGAGGTGCCCACTATGGTCTTTGGCCTCGACGTCTCCCACGGTGCTCCGGGCAGCCGCGCTCCCTCCATCGCTGCTGTGAGTGCTTAGGCACACGCACGCATGCACTCCCGCTGTCGCTGCCGTGTGTGCATGTAGCATCAAACATGCATGCATCAGTCATTCGCACCAATAGCTTGGCGTGGCAGCATGAAAGGACGCATCTGTTTGTATACCAGCCTCCATGGTTCTCTTCTCGGAGTAGCTGCATCCCTCAGTGAGATGAGGTGCCCACCATGGTCTTTGGCCTCGACGTCTCCCACGGTGCTCCGGGCAGCCGCGCTCCCTCCATCGCTGCCGTGAGTGCATGCGTGCATGCATCTATCATGACATGCACCCCCTGTTGCCGCAGTGCATGCATGCATGCATCTGTCGTCTGCACCGGGTCAAACACTTTATTCTCTGGGTCGACATCAATGTGCTTGACTCGAACTCGGGCGTGTTCGGTTCGATTACCCCAGCAGCCCAGCCTTTGTAGGAAACTGCACTTATAGCGTTGCTAGATGTGTCCTGAAAAAATCTTTTTTTTTTCTCCAAACACGCAAACTCGCATGTGATAAAATACCCCTCGGTGGTGAGAGATCCGCGACAGTTGCAAAATCTACAAAATTCACCATTTAAAACTCTCCTCTGTGTTGAGATCCACGAGGGCGGAGTGGGGGGAGGCCATTAGGTGTTTCGAGGACAACGTCTAGGAGGCAGTAATCTCCCACTCGAACGGAGCCCAGGTACGTGAAGAGGCTCTCCTCAAACGACACCCAATTGACGGCGGTGGTGCCGTTGAGGAGCTCGAGCTTGTCGATGGAGGCACCCACGACGAACTCCTCTTCCTCCACCTCCTCGCGCCCTCCATCGCCCCTGTCGTCCGCACCATGGCGGGCACTCCAGTTCTTCTTTTCTCGGGCACCCCCACCATCTTCGAACCCACCACGTATGAGGAGGCTATTGCCTGCCTCGACGCACCGCTCTGGATTGAAGCCATGGTCAAGGAGAGCAACGCCTTCATCCACAACCGCTCCTTCATCGACGTCCCTCGCCCTGCCAAGACCAATGTCGTCAAGGGCAAACGGCTCTTCCGTGTCAAGCTTCTCCCTGGCGAAGACCCTGTCTACAAAGCTGGCTATGTGGCGAAGGGCTTCACGCAGAAGCACGGCTTTGACTTCTTCGAAACATACTCACCCACTGCTACCCCACCGGTCGTTCGGGTGTTCCTCGACTTCGTCGGTAGACGCGGCATGCTGCTGCACTCCATGGATGTCACTACCGCCTTCCTCCAAGGCGACCTACACGAACTCATCTTCATGGAATGCCCCAAAGGCTTTCACGCTCCACATGACCCGTCCACCGTTTGGAAGCTGCTGCGGCCCGTCTACGGCCTCAAGCAGGCACCCCGGGAGTGGCATGCCAAGCTCTCTTCCACCCTTCGCGAGCTTGGTTTTCGCCCCTCCCGAGCTGCCTCCAGCCTCTTCCTTCGGACGGCTCCGTCCCCTTTCTACATTCTTGTTTTTGTCGACGACATGCTACTAGCTGCCGACACAGATGCTGAGATGCAGGAGGTCAAGGACGAACTACAGCGTCGACTCGCCTGCAAAGACCTGGGGGAGGTCCGCAACTACCTTGGCATGGAGATCACCCGCGACCTCAAGGCTAAGACTATCTCCCTCTCTCAGTCCTTCTACATTGAGAAGGTCCTTGAGGTTTGGAATGTCCAAAGCCAAGCCCATCGCCACTCCGCTTGCAGTTGGGCATCAGCTCTCGCCCCCTGCCACCCCCACCGACTCCTCGAACCCCTATGCAGAGCTTGTCGGGGCCCTGATGTATGCCATGGTCTGCACCCGCCCCGACCTTGCCTACCCAGTCAGTGTTCTGGCGCGGTTCGTTGGTGTCGGCAGGCACACGGAGGAACACATGACGGCGGCCCAGCGTGTCCTACGCTACCTTCAGCATACGAAGAATTACTCTCTCACCCTTGGTGGAGCGGACCCGCCGGTTCTCACTGGCTTCAGCGACTCGTCCTGGGCAGATTCACAACCTGACCGTCGCAGCTCACAGGGATATGGTTTCTCCCTTGGGAGCGGCCTCATCAGCTGGCGCTCCACCCGCTCCTCCTCCATCGCCCTCTCCTCCTGCGAAGCCGAACTATACGCGGTCACGATGGCGGCACAGGAAGCACGCTGGCTCAGCTATCTCCTCACAGACCTTGGCTCACCACAACCATGTCCCACCCTCTGGTGTGACAACGCTAGCACCATCCACCTCACCAAAGAAGCTGTCTTCCATGGTCGCTCCAAGCATATCGAGCTCCGACACTACTTCGTCCGCAACCTTGTCAAGGATGGCCACATCACCATGCGCAAGATCGACTCATCCTCCAACCCCGCCGACATTTTCACTAAGGCCCTCGACCGCGCTACTCACTCGGCAATCTTGCCCCTCCTGGGCCTTGCCCCCCATGGTGACTGATTCAGGGGTTGCTGTCTTATCTCATCCAGGTTTAAGGATCTCTGCAGGCTAAGGGGTTGTGTTAGTTTATACTACTCTTCTGTATCCTGCATTGATCCTATAAACCCTAGGATAGAGATAGGCACCCAAACAATGTTTGGGTGCACAACTAGGGTTAACCCTAGGTAGGGGTTGGAACCTAACCTTGGCCCAATTATTGGACCCCAAGGTTGGGTTGGAAGATTATTGGCCCCCCCAATAATGTTGGCCCACTTTGACCAACATTATTGGGACCCCCCAATAATTCTCCAACCCAACTTATTGGTGGGGGCCAATAATGTTGGCTAGGTACCAACCACCCCCCTTTCCTTAGCTCCAACTATGTAAGCCCTCGTCATTCCTAATCAACCTATCGGTTCAATTCTCACACCCTCTCTCCCCACCCCCCATGTGCGCTGGGAGGTGACTTTTAAGGCGCCTCAGAAGTTGCCACCGTCCCAGCTATCCCCTCTCTCCCCACCCCCCATGTGCTCTGGAAGGTGACTTTTGAGGCGCCTCAGAAGTTGCCACCGTCCCAGCTATCCCCTCTCTCCCCAACCCCTTCCATCCCTCTCCGCACCCGCACCAGGTGGTTGCATCGATGGATCCCGAAGCCAGCAAGTATGCGGTGCGGAGGCGCGCGCAGCACAGGAGGCAGGAGACAATCCTTGGCCTCTTCGATTCAGAAAGTGCCAATGGCGGCATGCTTTGGTGTGTTGCTTACCATGTTGTGGTTGTTGTTGTTGTGTTTTTTTTTTTTTTTTTTTTTTTTTTTTTTCCGGGTTTGCTGCTCGTTGTCTTATGTCGGGAAACCGAACAAAGCAAAAACCTCATTGTTCTGTCTTTTGTATTTAGGTTTTATTGTTTAAGTGTTCTTTGCTTTACGTTACCCTTGAGCATTCATGCATCTCTCGCTCCCTCCTCTCTCCCTCCTCCTGCCATCCTCCCGCCCTTCTCTCTTGTACTCTCTTCTTCGCTCCCTCCCCGCTCCCTCCTTCCTCCTTTCTACCCTTCTCTCTCCCTTCTCGGAACCTGTTCCCCCCCTCCCGCTCTCCTCTCGCCCCCACACCCTGCTCTCTTCTCTTCCTCTACGTGTATCCAACACGTGGCAGTGAGCTGATGAACGATTTCGGCACGATCAACAAAACGGCGCCCAAGCGCATCATCGTGTTCCGGTGAGCACCTTTGAGCGAGCAGGGTAGGCTGGGTATGTGTGCGCTCTGAGGTGCCTCAAACTCTGGGAACACCAAGCTGTTGGGGCCCAAGCGCATCATCGTGTTCCGGTGAGCACATTTGAGCGAGCAGGGTAGGCTGGGTATGTGCGTGTTTGAGGCGCTTCACATCACATTGGCAAGTAGCTGAACTCGAGAGGGCCCAAGCACATCATCGTGTTTCGGTGAGCACCTTTGAGCGAGCAGGGCAGGCTGGGTATGTGCGTGTTTGAGGCGCTTCAATATCTGGCAATGCCAACAGGTTGGGGCTTAGGAGCATGATACTTATGTACCGGTGAGTCCGCACGAGCAGGGCATGTTGGGGATTTGCGTTCACGTGAGTGCTGCATGCATTGTTACGGCTGAAGGAATGGACAATTTGATGTATGCACATGTACAGTTTGGATGTTGAGTCGATTCAGACGTCCAGGTGCAGGCTTTGTCTGTTAGTTGCGATTTCTAATTGTTTGTTCTCCTGTCGCAACTCCTCTCCTCTTCTCCTTGTTCCCTCATGTGGCTCGCACCTGAGTCTCCTACGCCTGTGCTTCTGTGGTATGTGCTTTTTGAGTAAACTCAACAGTCATTTTGTGTCTCCTGCATCTCTCCTCCTCTCCTGCCTGTTCTCCTCTCATCCCTGCTCTCCTCTCCTCCCTGCTCTCATCTCCTTCCTGCTCTCTTCCCCTGCCTATTCCTCTCCTCACAGGGACGGCATCAGCGAGTCGCAATTTCCAACAGTGGGGGCGGCGGAGCTGCAGGCGTTCCGCAAGGTGAGGAGGGATGCGGATGGGTGGATGAATGGAGGGTGAGGGAGGTGGGTCGAAGTGGCATGCGCCCCGGTACCATACAGATGGCAGCAGTGGCAGGTGGCTGAGAGAGCAGCAGTGGCAGGTGGCTGAGAGAGCAGCAGTGGCTCTACCTTCCCCCTTCCCCCTCTCCCAGGCGTTCGAGTTGACTGGAAAGGTGGTGGGAATCTCCTCCTTTCGCCCCACCATCACCTACATCGTGGCCCAGAACACCATCACACGCACGCACTGCTCTACCTTCCCCCTTCCCCCTCTCGCAGGCGTTCGAGTTGACTAGCAAGGTGGTGGGAATCCCCAACTTCCGCCCCGCTATCACCTACATCGTGGCACAGAAGCGCAACAACGTGCGCTTTCTGCCCTCCCAGGGCGACCGCAACGTGCAGCCGGGGACCATCGTGGATAAGGATGTGACCCACCCTTTCTTCTTCGACTTTTACATGGTCTCGCACAAGGGGCTGCTGGTATGTATGCTGTGCAGAAGCGAAGCAATGTGCGCTTCCTGCCCTCTCAGGGCAGCTACAACGTGCCGCTGGGAACCATCGTGGATAAGGATGTGACGCACCCCTTTTTCTTCTACTCCTACATGGTCTCGCACAAGGGCCTGCTAGTAAGTCTGTAGCATGCAATACTCAATCATTGTAGCACCTCAGAAGGTGCAATACTAAATTAGAGAGCACACTAGGGAGGGAAAACTGATTACATGTTTATGCCCTGGCCCACTGGAGACCATCGTGGACAGGGATGTGAACCATCCTTACTTCTTTGACTTCTATACGGTTTCACACAAAAGGGCTTGGGGGTATGTAGTGCACTCGTGCTGCCTATGTACGCCCAGGCTTGATGGGAACAGGCTTATACCCCTGCTTCTCTGGTTTTTCCCCCACAGGGCACGAGCAGGCCAGTGCACTACCACGTGCTGCATGATGAGAATGGGTTCACTTCGTTAGTTCTCTCCTCACCATCCATACACCTCTCTTTGCCTGTATGCGCATGTGTACCCCCCTACAGGGCACGAGCAGGCCAGTGCACTACCACGTGCTGCATGATGAGAATGGGTTCACTGCGGACGAGATTCAGCACCTCACGCACTCCCTCTGCTACAGGTGAGCTCAGCATTACACCTTCGGTGCTGGGCTTCAGATTTATGTAGTGCCATGCACGCTCAAAACACCAGAATCAGGACATTGCATGGTGTTGCATGTTAACTCCTGATGGTTTTTACACATTCTTGGTTATGTCAATACTGTGCTTGCTACTAACCAGCATTTCATCTTCTTCTTGCATGACTGCCTTCCCACTGTCTTCATCTTATCGCAGTTATGGGAGGTGCACTCGAGCGGTCTCCACTGGTACGCCCTCTCTCTCCCGACACCACCCTCACAACTTATATGTAAGCCTTTTGCGACATCTCAAAAGCAGTCTTGAGACGTCTCAAAATCAGCTTTTTGAGACGTCTCAAAATCAGCCTTTTGAGACGTCTCAAATGGGAGGTGCACTCGAGCCGTCTTCACTGGTGCACTCTCCCTCTCCTCACAACACCCAACTTATAAGTACGTCAAATTACATACAACTTACACCCTTATAAACTGATTCATGTGTTAATATTCACAACCATCGTGCCATCTATATTCTCTCCGTAGTGCACTGCACACTTCTGAACCCCTGCAGACCACACTGCCACAGTTGCTCTGGTTTCAACAACTCCACTGATCTCTTTTCCAAGTCCCCTGCTGGCCAAGGCTGCTTCACCCACATGCCCACTGCCTCATGCGTGCATGCATGCTCTCCTGCCACCTCTCTATCCCTCTGTCCCTGTGGCTCTCTGTCGTTCTGTCCCCCCTCCCCCCCACCCTCCCCTCCAGTGGCGCCTGTATTACCAGAAGTCGTTGCCTCTTCCTTTCTCCCTCCCTCCCTCCCTCCCAGTGGCACCTGTGTTCTACGCGCACCTGGCAGCGATGCACTGCCGCAACCACTTTGACCACGATCACGATCACGACGCCACCTACTTCTCCGCCGAGGCCACTGCCGCATGCATGAACCCATGCTCCCCTGCTCCCATGCTCCTCTGCCAACTGTGTCACCCTGCCCCTGTATCCCTCGGCCCCTGTATCCCTCGGCCCCTGTATCCCTCGGCCCCTGTATCCCTCGGCCCCTGTATCCCTCGGCCCCTGTATCCCTCGGCCCCTGTATCCCTCGGCCCCTGTATCCCTCGGCCCCTGTATCCCTCGGCCCCTGTATCCCTCGGCCCCTGTATCCCTCGGCCCCTGTGTCCCTCGGCCCCTGTGTCCCTCGGCCCCTGTGTCCCTCGGCCCCTGTGTCCCTCGGCCCCTGTGTCCCTCGGCCCCTGTGTCCCTCGGCCCCTGTGTCCCTCGGCCCCTGTGTCCCTCGGCCCCTGTGTCCCTCGGCCCCTGTGTCCCTGCCCCTCTCCTCCTCCCTCCCTCCCTCCCAGTGGCGCCTGTGTTCTACGTGCACCTGGCAGCAACGCACTGCCGCAACTACTTCGACCACGATCATGACGCCACCGATCTCTCTCCCTCAAGCCCACTCCCTCATGCGTGCACCATGATCCCCTGCTCCTCTGCCCCTATATCCCTCTGCCCCTGTGTCCCTGTGTCTCTCCCAGTGGCACCTGTGTTCTACGCACACCTCGCAGCAACGCACTGCTGCAACCACTATGACCACGACCACGATCATGACGCCACTGACCTCTCCTCTGAGTCCAGTGCCGGCCGCAACAGGGACCCATGATCCCCTGCTCCCCTGCCAACTGTACCCCTCTGTCCCCTGCCCCTGTGTCCCTGTGCCCCTGCAGTGTCGCCGGTGTTCTACGCGCACCTGGCAGCGACGCACTGCCGCAACCACTTTGACCACGATCACGATCATGATGCCACCGACTTCTCCTCTGAGTCAAGTGCCGGCCGCAACAGGGATCCTGCCGCCCCTCGCCCTCCCCCTCCTCCTGTGCCTGAGCTGCCTGCTCTCGCTCAGGGCATGCCCACACGCATGTTCTACTGCTGAGGTTCGAGACGTCTCAAGACCTATCCACCGCTCGCCCTCCCCCGCCGCCCGAGCCTAAGCTGCCGGCTCTCGCTAAGGGCATGCCCACTCGCATGTACTTCTGTTGAGCCGCTTTTGAAACTTTTCAAAAGCATGCTCTACTGCTGAGCTTCCAGGTTTCTCAAGACCCAGCTGTCCCTCCCTCACCTCCTGCCGCTCTCCCTCCCCCACCTGCCCCTGAGCTGCCTAATCCCGCTCAAGGCATGGCCACACGCATGTTCCAATGCTGAGTATCAAGGTGTCTCAACTTGAGACTCTCCAGATGCCGCTGCCCCTCTCCCTCCCCTTCCTCCTGCCCCCCTGAGCTGCCTCATAGCTGTTGGAAACAATAGTTCCTAAGCGCCTCTGTCGTGTCGAAACACTAAGGCACAAGCCAGGCAAAGCATATTGAGGCACGAGCGAGTCAACCCTCGGAAGTTGAAGTAACCGCTGGAGGTTACGCGAAAGTCAAAGGTCAGCGACCATTGACCTGACAAATGCAGCGCGACAGCAAGGACACACAACTGACTCGTTACAGAGCAGTTGCCCGAGTCGTCAGTGTATCGAACCGCAACAGCAACAGTAAAGTAGTTACAATCGTGTCTCTTCATATTCTCTGTAATCTTGTATCCCGTTGCTTTAATCAATTCACTTTGCCCTCACATACTAGAGCAAGGTGGTTCACAAACTCCTTATTAAGACGCTTCCGCTACTACATCAACTCTACCCAGAATTCACCTCTGCAAAGGTGAATTCACCTCAGCCCAACATGGTATGAGTGCCATCAGGGGGAATTCGACTTATATACCAACAGTGTCAATCAGCATGGCTACACAAAAGGGAAGGAGCAACTCCAACGGATCCCAGGGCACTACTCCTACTCCACCTCCTGCCTCTGGCCTACAGACAGAGGAGGGCACGGCAACAAGACCCAGAGCAAGATCTACTGAGACTCCCGCAAATCATCCTGCGGACTTCGACCAGAGCATGATGGAGAAGTTCTTCTTCTTCATGTCCTTCTACGAGCAACACCAGCAATCGGCACCTGCGCAATCACACAACAGCAACAACAACGGAGCAACACCCATGAGTCTCGACGGCTCATCGTATGCACGAGGAATTCAGCAACAACAGCCTACCTTTGCTCCGTACGAGCGCGGATCCATCAGCTTCATGCCACACCCACAGCCCTCACCTGGACAAGAAAAACAACTGGACGCACTACAAGTTCAGTCGCAGTTCGCACATGTTCTGAAGATGCAGACGTCAAGACCCTTCGATGGAAAGGATTTCTTCACCTGGTCGTTCGAGTTTGAGCTGATGATGGAAGGCGCGCAGATACTCGGGTTCTTCGACGGGTCCCTGCCATACCCAACAAACGGCACACAGTACGAGAAGCAGCAATACACCTATCAGTCAATGATGGCGTACACGATCCTACTGAGAAATATCACCCCGACTCAACAGCAGAACATAAGGACTTGCCGAGGTTACGGTAACTCCGCGGAGCTCGCGTACAACCACCTGAAGAGCATGTATCAAGCAACAGACAGTGTAAGTCAAAGTCGGTTAATGGCGCAACTGACAACGGTTGAAATGAAACCAGGGGAGAAAGGAATGGCGTATATCAGTCGATGTCGCAAATTGCGCGATAAGCTTCTTCGATGCGGAGGGTCAATTTCTGAAGACGCCTTCGTGACAGTCATCATCGGCGGCCTCGGTCCTCAATGGCGCGCCACAAAAGCCATCCTCCGAGCTCACGGAAGAATCTCCGAAGCAGCGCTCTGCGCCGAAATCCATGCCGAGCAGCAAGACATGGACCTGCAAGAAGAACGACACAAAAAGAAGACTTCAGCACCAGAGTTCGCGTTCCACACCCAGCGACGCTACAACAACAACAACAACAACCGGCAGCAGCAACTGAAGTCAGTACCTCCGTTTTGCCACATCTGCAAAACTTAAGGACACCCGCGCACGCACTGCCCGAATCGTCAACAATCAACAACCCCGCAGCGGCAACTTCGGCCTTCAAGCAGCCAAGTCGCCTCAACGCAGACAAATCCTACGACTCAGATTCAAGCTTCAAAGACTTCAACATGACAACCTGCACAAGAAGCAAGAAACATCGTCAGTTGCATGACAAAGATAACAGACTCCTGCATCACCGAGTCACCACCACACTACTCACCGGAAGAACAACTCGTCGAAACCACACCCCGCCGCGAGTCACTTCAGCCGAACCCGACATACGCCGCCATCGCTCAAAGCGAACCATCAGGAAGGGACACTTGGTTCTTGGACAGTTGCTACGGACAGCACATGTGTTCCTCATGACGCTTCGTTCAACGAGAACACCAGCTTCAACACGAAGTCGTCATTACAGTCGCCAACAACCAAAACCTGCGAACACGACGACAAGGCGTAGTTCAACTTTAGTCAAGGGAAACAAACGTCGTACTACAGATGTCAAAGGTACTAATCGCGGAGGGATTCGGCTACAACTTACTGAGCGTCAGCCAGCTGATGGCGAAGGGGATTCATCTCGAAGCAGACAGTACCACTCAAGAATTCGAGCTGTATCACGGAAAAGGAGGACTCTACATCGGCAGGGCAGTCCTTAAGAACAACGTCTTCGTTCTTGATTTCGTCCCTGACCTTGGCACTGCCGACAGCGACGCCATCGTCAACTTCACCGACTGGACACACCCTCCGGACCTTGATCCAGACTTCAGTCCAGAAGGCTTCTGGTACTCACACACCAACCCTGAAGCAGAAAGAACAAGGGCGTTAGCAACAATCCAGACAACATCGGCAGCAGCAAAAACAACATCGGCAGTAGCAGAGACAACATCGGCAGCAGCAGAAACAACATCGGCAGCAGCAGAGACAACATCGGCAGCAGCAGAGACAACATCGGCAGCAGCAGAGACAACATCGGCAGCAGCAGAACCATTAACGACAGCAGCAGGAATGTCAACACCAGTTGCTGGTCCTTCAACGACACCACTCCTCATCGACGACACACCACCAACACCAGCGCAACAACTGCACCTAGCACCACAAGAAGTTCATTGCAGCACCAACTTCACCGCCAGCTTCTACTCCAACTCCGACATGTACCGACGATCACCCGGACATCGCGCCAACGAAAGCACCTGGCACGCACGGCTGGGACACCCAAGCAACACAGTATTAAATAATACAATAAGAGCAGGAGTACTTGACAAGGACTCACTCCTACTAACCGACGGACGAGAACTTCAACGAGCGCGAGGAACGTGCTTCACCTATCCTGAAGGCGACTTACCGTATCGACCATTCGCGTCACATCACAACCCAAGCGCTCCCGCGTACGCACCACTCGAGAAGGTGTATAGCGATATAATGTTCAATCGGGAACCAAGACAAGTCACATACAACTACACGATCACCTTCATCGACGCCGCCACCCGTTACGTCTGGCATCTAAACCTACCCAGCCGCGACATGGCATTCGCAGCCTTCGTTTCCTGGCTACCAGTAGCAGAGAGAGAGTCGGGCGTACAACTGAAAAGCTTCCAGTCAGACGGAGGAGGAGAATACACCTCTCAGCGGTTCAAGCAGTACCTGGCGGAAAGGGGAATCAAGCAGCTCATCTCCCTTCCCTACGCCCATCAGCAGCAAGGAGTAGCAGAGAGAATGAACAGGACCCTGCAGAACACCATGCGCAAACTGCTACGTGGCATGCGGCTACCCAACCACCAATGGCCTGCAGCAATGGACCACGCTGTCATGCTGCACAATTTGCTATCGTCATCATCGCTTCCGAACAACGCATCACCGCATCTGCTATGGACAGGGAAACAGGGCAGCACAAAAATGTTACGAGTTTTCGGGTGCATGGTACAGTACCGACCCCCAGCAGCACGAGCGGGCCGATTTTCCCAATGAGCACAATGGGGACTACACCTGGGCATCGAAAAGAACTACAACGCGTGGAAAATCTTCGACGTCCACTCAAAGGAAACAGTAGCAGCACGTGACGTAATTTTCTATGAACGACTCACGCTCCAGACGTACCTTGCCAACTTGCAAGAAGACGAAGACCCCACAGGTGGCCTTCGTGGTGACCGAGCCTTCGCCTAAGCAGCAGACGAAGCAGACTGGGACGAGCAGAATGTGGACAACGCATCAAAAGAATCCGGACCTCTTCCGTTCTGCTCCGTCGACGTTCCCATGGACGAAGACAACCCTCGCGAAAGTGCCAACGCCGAAACCTTCTACCACTTCGCCGACAACGGTTACGTAACACCTGCGATAGTCAACACCAAAGAAGCAGAACAAGTAGGACCAAATTTCATACCTAATCCAGAAACGGGAGACGAAGTAGCTTATCCCGAGGACACAACACTCCCCCGCTACTCACAGAGTGGACTGCAGATCCTCGGGCTCGTCACCGCAGTCCACGGCTCCGTCGCTCCTAAAGAGCCTGCGACGGTTCAGCAGGCTCTGGGGGGGGAACATAAAGAAAAATGGCGCGAAGCCATGGACAAGGAGCTGAAGGCACTGGAGGAACGCAATACGTGGAAGGTGGTTCCTATCGGTGTGGCACGGAACAAGACAGCACTCACCGGAAAATGGGTCTTCCGTGTGAAGACAAAGGCCGATGGCACCATCGACAAATTCAAAGCACGCTGGGTCATTCGTGGTTTCGACCAAGAGCACGGCCGCGACTTCACCGAAACATTCGCTCCAGTCAGCCGACACACCTCGCTACGCATCCTTCTCGCGATCGCCGCCATGAAGAAGAAGAAGCTAAGGCAAATCGACATCGCTAATGCATTCCTCTACGCACCCGTCGACGCCGAGATCTTCGTCGAGCTACCACACCGCTCCAGCACGGACTCGAAACACGTCTGTCAACTACTCAAGTCACTCTACGGCATCAAGCAAGCCCCGCGACTATGGCAACAATACCTACACGCTCGCCTCATTCGCATCGG